AATTAAGTTCAAGAACACACAAACACATATAAGAGAAAGACTTTGAATGAAATGGATTAACAACAATATTCTCTCATAATGTAGTAGTGTTTCACTTAGATTTCAATATTTTTATTTGATTTTAAAACATTCTCTTTTCTAATCTTTAATAATAAATATAGTTGTTAACCATTGTTAGTTGTCTTTTTTTTTTTCATAATTGTGATTTATGTGCACAATTGATTCTTTAAGAATGAATGTAATTACTGATTCTAATTCTAAAATATTAAAATTCATTTCTTATAAAATATGTATTCTTTAATAATTAATATTAATAATATATGAGTATTTTGTCAAATGATAATCTGTTTTTCAAAATAATCATAAACACGTTCTTTTAGAATGTGTAAATTAATAGAATTATTATTCAAAAAAATCAGATTTTTAAAGTTAGGAAAATTATTATTCAATAAAATCTATAATTTTCCTTTTTTTGAATTTATGTTAATAGACAAAAATACATTTATAGGGAAATTAGATGGTATTTTTCAATTATTTTTAATTCAATAATATTTATTAATCATCTTCTTAAAATAAATAAAGTGATTGGTCTTTAATCAATATATATATATATATATATATATATATATATATATATATATATATATATATATATATATATATATATATATATATATATATAGACACACACACACACTAGATGTGTGCCAATGCAAAACGGCGGAGATAAATAATTTTTTTGGCGAATAATTTATTAAGAAAAGTAATTATTAGATTTTACTATTAGTTATTATGTAATAAACAATTACTATTTTTAAATAAAATATATATGGTTATACTAATGATGCAAATTAATTAATATTCGTGTTTAATCAATTTAAGAAATATAAATTATTTTATATATATAAATTTAATATTTTAATATTTTCGTTTTGCTGCAACTTTAGTTGCTTAATTACTTTACTTAATTTAAGTTTTCAAACTTTTGGTAAATATTAATGAATTTATTTATGCATAATTGATTTGTATAAAAAGTTTTGTAACTTATACCTTTTAAAATTCAAGATATGATTAATATGTTATATATCTATAACCCTTATAAAGCATACATAAGTGTGGGCCCTTCACAATTTTAAGACTATTATCCTAAAAATCAAGGAGAACAAATCTAATCCATTGAATTTATGTTGGACGGTATGGATGTATTAATGTGGTGATCCAAGTGATCAAAAATCAGCCAATCAAATTCAATAGCTTAAGTTTACCTATCTTTTGAAGCTTCAGCCACTCAAAACGAAAACACAAACACACACTATAAATTTAACAACCATTCACTTTCCCTCTTCCTACCCGACTCTATCTTTATATTTCAACCTTCACCAAAACCCTAAAACTTCATAAATCGCTACTGCCTCCGCCATAATGTACCTCCTTCGTCTCCACTATAGTTTTCTGTCGTCTCCCCCGTCAGCCACCAGCACCCCATCAGCCCTCATCTCCAATAAACCGGGCCATTGTAATGCCGACTCGCCAGCGGAATAATAAAAAAGTTTTCGAAACATTACGAATCATTATATAAAATTATACTGCCAACTCGCTATATATATCGTCTTCCGTTTGACGCCGCCTCTCCCCTTCTGCCCCTTTTTTTTGGTTCTATTATTTGAAGTAACAAATAACGTTGAGCCAGAAAAAAGGTGTAAAGAAGTTGTCGTCCCCTCCTCTCTGTTCTCTACACTTCCTTGCCTGGTCTTTGTCTACTGTTGTTCGTTTAACTTTTTTCCCTCTAATGTACGTTTTTTGATGGATCTATTCGTTGATGGGGTAAATAAGAGTGATGGTAAGGTTTTTATGATCAGTGTAAATGTGTATGTGTGTGCTTTATATCTGTAAGTGTGTATATATCTGTTTGTCTGAATCTCTGTGTATGTAGCAATAACATGCCCATTTATAAACCTGTTGAGTTTTTGATATTTTATTATGGTTTTTTGTTTTTATAAATCTTCATGTGTTCATGTCATACAAATCTAAAAAATTGGATCTATAAAAATATATTTGTTTCTTGATTTCCATTCACTAATCTTTGTATATTTTGGTACTCATGTATTATTTTTGCAAAAAAATATGAAATTTATGATATATATATATATATATATATATATATATATATATATATATATATATATATATATAATATTTAGCGTGTATCTTTGTTAATCTATGTGTTTAATATTTGTGATTTGTAGTTTTTAAAAGGAGAAAAACAGACTAAATAAGCTTATATATAAAAGTGAAGTCGAAGTAGATGGTCAATCAAAATATAACGTTTTATTTTGTCTTTTTGTTGATGGATATATCAAATCTTGAAATCTTATAGATTTTGATTAAGTAAACGTGACAATTATGATTTTCATGATCTATGAATGTATGCGATTCTTTTAACATATCCTTAAATACATATAACGAATGTAACTTGAAGTAATAACATTTTGAAAAAAATATATTGTATTAAAAATTAATATTAAATACTATTATATGCATGCTGGATTTTTAGGTTGGAAGAAAAAAAATCAACTTTTATTCAACAAAATGGTTTTATGTAGATTAGTAAAGTTGGATTTTAAAGAACAAAAAAAAACATTTTTTTTTAAATTTATAGCTACTATAACAAAAATCCCCTATAACATATTCTTTTTATATTACATATATAAATAAATTTTAATATTATATACTCAATTGCATATGTTTATTAAGAAATAGGGAGATACGTTACATACCTAAATTTTTATCAAATAAAAAAGCAGATACATTCCTAAATTTTTATAAAATAAGAAGCAGCTAAAACAGATGACTACCAAACCTGGTTTTTAAAATTTAATAGAGAAAGTAAAACAATAATATGGTCTAAAAGATGAAATAATACCTGTTGTATATCAAATAATGTGATAGTAAAAAAAAATCCTAAATAATGCATGTATATCAAATAATGGATAGAAAAAAACTAAATAATGTTGAGGGCAATATAATAAAAGATATCATTCAGTTTTCAACAAAGTTATAAATAACGTAAGGCGTGACTTGGCGGTAATGTCAAACCTCAAGTTTTTCCGAGCCTTGGTGAGTCACAGCATTTGTAAGACGTGACTTAAGGCGACAATTTTCTATATAATTAATATTTTTATATGTATTTTCAACTATTATTTATTTTTATACACATATATGAGTTAAGGCGGCGTTTTAGCAAAGTTGGCGGCAGGTGCAAGCCTTGAAGCCATAGCAGAGGCATGACGAGCTTTTTAGAATCTTGGTTTTCAATGATATATTTTAAGAATATTAGAGATAATATCATTAAAAATATGAAAAGAAACGGTTAGAAATATATTGAAAGTTGTCGTTAATAATAAAGTAAAAGATTTTGTTAACATATTCAAAATAAAAAGCGATTACAAAATAATCTAGAAATAAAGTAAAATCACGAATATATTAATAATATAAATATAGGAACAATAATAAAATAGTAAGTACAAAATATATTAGTAAGTACATGATCTAGAAATTTATAATATCTTAGATCATAGATGCAATAATTATATCTTTAATTGTTTTGTATATATGTGACAAATCATAAATGTAATAAACTATATGTTTTATTATTTCCATATTTTAAATCATCTAGCGAGTTTGTATTTGTATTACATCAGTATTTTTTGTATCTTTATGCCAATTTCATTTTACATTATGTACCTCTAATCATGTGACATGTTTATATTATTCTCATCTATGCTTATATTACTCTTATCGTTTACTTAGATATTAGTTTTTGAAAGAGAACATAATTTTGGCTTTTTAATGTCTTTTTACATGTTTTGGATAGAACAACATAATTTTGGATTTTTTTAGGAATTTCTTTGTTTGATGTTCTAAAATTTTGCATTTTATTTGGTAAATTGTTGAGCTCGGATGATATAGAGATTCATTTATTATATAGCCTAACAAAATATGTATCGAATTCATTATAAAATATCGTAAATCAGTTTCACCTTTAGTAATTTGGTTGTCATAAATTATTTTAATTATAAAAAACTAAAATTATTAGAATAACAAATTGATAGTTTTATATATTTTCTATATCATTATTAACAATATTAATTAATAACAATATTAATACTATTTTTTTTATCTGTTATGACAAATTTCTAACAATATTCAAACTTTAATTAGACACTTGATTACTACGATTAATATAGTTTATATACAAAACTATGATTTAACAAAAACTATAATGAACCTTTCTTTTAATCCAACATAATTTCTTTTAACCTAACACAAAAACATACATTTAATTTAACCAAAAACAGTTTGCCAAAATATCGTTGTTGTAATAGAAACTCATACTATTATTCGGCAAACTAATGAGAAATAACAAAAAAACTTGTAAAAAACTAATGAGAAATAACAAAAAGAGATGGATGAAAGAACTCACCGAAAAAAAAAAAACTTAATCGGCGAAACGAAAAGAATATATTCGGCAAAAAGAACGTAATATATGAAACAAAACAATGTGCCTAAAAGAACGCAATCGCTGATACAAAACATGTCAAAAAGAAAATAATCGTCGAAAAGAAACAACTCCCCGAAAAAATTATTCTCCGTCGCTGCATCGCGCGGGTACACTACTAGTATGTATGTATATATATATATATATATATATATATATATATATATATATATATATATATATATATATATATATATATATATATATATATATATATATATATATATATATATATATAAGATTATTGTTTATTTATTTACACATTGTACAAGTTCACGCCTACGGTTTGATGTAATTTTTTAACCCCTTTCTTTTATTGGATCGCTTAATTCTTGTACATCTTCCTCAGAATATGTGTTTGCTACTTAGGTTATCAGTATATGGTGATGTGTGTATTTTTTATTCAGTCTTGTGGGTTACTTTTATGTGTACGTTAATAAGATTTTAAAAGGAAATGTTGCCTAATGCTTGATATTATATTTTTAAGAATAAGCACATGGTATCCCCACTTGACTGCTAACTCAAGTAACCTTAGTAGACCTTTTAACTTCACTCTTATCAAAACTTCAAATTTACAAATAAAAACTTATACAAGGATGTACACATGTGTTTTTTGAAACACTATAGATACAAACTTATATATATATATATATATATATATATATATATATATATATATATATATATATATATATATATATATATATAAAGATATACACAACAATATCACACAATATCTGCAAACACAAGCAAAACATCATGATGTCAAGATCCACATGAACACAGTCGCCCATCCGGTAAGTGCAAATGTGGCTACTAAGTAAGTCCACATCATAAGCACCGAACATTCCTCTTGCCCCACACTGAACAATTGTGTCATTGTACCTGCATCCAAATAATTTATAATCTTAATTCTCTATCCAAATTCATTAATTCATTTTAATTTACATTAAAACAAGAATTACTTACTGATATTCATGGCAGGTGGCAGGGTGTACTGAATCAATAATAGGAAACTAAAGAGAGGGTCTGCAGGAAGTAGTTGTAGACTATCAGCTGCTTTGATCACAAAGATTCCAACAATGGGAGAAATAACATATCGTATACAGATGATTGTAATAATGATATTAGGCCTGATGCTTGCTCTCTTTAAACCTGTAATAAATTTTGTCAAGAATATAAATTAATTATAAGTGACCAAGTGTTTCTATGATTGTTTAGGTTTTACCTTGTATTAGATTGCCTCCTAGTATAAGAGTGATACAAGGTAAGGTTCCATCACTATATAACAAAGTAAGAAAATGTTGTTAAGATAGATGCCAATCCAAAATAGTGCTTCTTAAAAAAACTATAATCGGATAAACATACCCAAGTAGTGTGACAGAATCTTGGATAACTCGTAAAGGAGAATCAACCCCCATCACAAGCTTTTTCAGCCATGGGGTCGCCCCAAAAATCATTCCTAAAATCTGAGGACATATATATATATATATATATATATATATATATATATATATATATATATATATATATATATATATATATATATATATATATATATATATATATATATATATATATATATACACACACACGATTATTAGATTATATTATATGTGTCAAGAATACTAGTGTATAGTAAGTGGATGCTTAATTCATAACACTTACAGAACCAATGTTTGGAGGAGACAGCAGTTCCTCCAAGAATTTGTGGAGTATTTCTGCTAGTTTACATGAGGATTCTTCTTTTTTATCATCACTGCTTACAGATCCTTCGTGTATAGTCTGCACATATCAATGGATAATGAGATTAACTGTATAATATAATATATCTATCAATATATAAGTTACATGAACTGTACATGCTTACAAGTTGGATTTGTTTTTTATCACTAGTCGGGTATGATAATGGAACAACTAAATCGATATATTCTTGGCTTTCTACACTTAGAAGACATGTTTTTTCAGTTGCATTCATGTCTTTGTTGGGTTCCTGTTGTGATTGGTCTTCGACCTCTTTCAAATACCTTAAACTTGAGTTTTTTATCAATTGGAAAGTGTATGTCCAAATGTAGAAGCTGCCCAACTGTATCATAATTTTTGAATTAGGATCCAATAATTGTGAAATCTAAACATCATCACAATACGAAACAATATAATTGTTGATGTAGCTTATAGAGGATGAAACAAAATTGAGTTAAATTAAATGAACAAGTTAAAAGCTAACTCACCGCTAGGGAGAATGATGAATATGCAAATCCTTTTGACTTGCAGATACTATGTTCTCCAAATGGGCTTCCAGCTTCGGTGCAGATTGCAGGGACAATTATCAATAGAATGTTTCCTAGGTTTCCTAACGTGTAAAAAAAATAATAACAATATAAAAAACCCTTATAATTTTGAGAAAACGAAGAAACACAAATTTCAAGGTTATTTCCATTATGATTTAAAAGCATGTTTGAATTTGATAACTCTAGAGAATCTTGGCATGTGTCTATCGCCGAAAGTCTCATTGCAAAAATGTTTAGTAAAAGTTCACTTGGTAGCAAATTTGGAAATATTAAAGAGAATTTTCATATTATTGATATGTTATATGAAAATATTAAAAGAAGAGATATTCACAAAGATGAACATTAGAAATGAAGGAATATTCTGAAATGATTAACTTTATATAGAACGGAAAAAATGATTATCTATTCTGAAACACTGCATTCTTGACTACTTAGAAATCAGTGAGACATGACATAACATGATCTAAATATGGCATTTTGGATCGACATAAGAGACATTTCGGAAAGTCCTTAATTCCATATTCATATGTCAGACGTGAATTCAAAAAAAGAAAAATTATTTATGTGGGTTTAGGGTATTACTATTTATCTGTATCTCAATATACAATTTTGTTATTTAAAATGAGTTCATATAATAAGTTTTTTTAAGCACTGTTTGTAGTGGAGGGCGATGGGAGCAAATCAACGACATTATACAATATGTGGCATCAAACTACACATGTTATGGTGTGAACTTAACCTATGATATTAGCTTTAGTCGGTTGATTAGCTTGGTGGCTTCCAACTTCAGACTAATTAAAATATTTTTGTCTTTCGAATGTCCCGGATTGAATGTTGTTATGTAGATAATTTTTGAAAATCATGTTTAATTAATATTTTATTATTGTTGTTACTGATAATCCTTCGAAGTGATGTTTGCCGATGAGTTACATGTCAATATCCTAATCCCACTACATATCCATTTCCTAGGAAATGGGGTTGTAATTTATTGCTTATTCCGCGAGTCCTCTTAACACAAGGTACGAAACACAATTTTCTTACGATGGACATGTATAGACACTAATGGAGTCATGGGCAACGTAAATGTAAGTAAGTCTCTCTCGTCATGAATAAGCCATAAAAAAATGGTAGGTGATTTCATAAAGGATATATGGATGATAATAAAGAGAACATGTTGCAAATAAAGGCAATGACTTTTCAAAAAAAATGTTTTTTATATAAAATTTAAAAAATGGGTAATGAAGTTTCACAAAATCTGATAAAATGAAAAAGATTTTCTAAATTCTAATATGTCTGATGGTACATATAATAAATATTAATTGAAATGCTAATTTTCAGTAATATTACCATAATTATATTAGATTAAATATTAATTACAAATAATATTATTTATAATTAATATATTTTACATTTAATGATGATAATTACACATAATTAATGTTTATCACATTTAATTATTATAATGTTTATTATAATTAATAGTTCAATTAATGTTTCTTATATATGTTCTTAGGACACTTATTAGAAAATTTCATAGTTCAATTAATATTTCTTATATGTATTTTTAAAGTATATATTAGAAAATCTCAATAAAAAAAGTTTTTTTTAAAATCTACCTTCATATATAAACAAATGACAAATATAAGTACCTGTAGAGCACATAGCAATCAGTAGGCCCTCCAAGTGTGGTTTTGGTTTAATTAGTTTTGCTGCTATCCACCCCAATGTCCCTCCAACAATAAATGTCATTCCAATATTTAACGGCATAAACCACCTACATAATTTGAGATATTATGTTATCACCATAACAAGTATTAATTAGTATATTTGTCGTGTAAAATGAATACTAATGACATCAAATCATCTTTATGTATGTTTGTGCGCGCATACACACATGCACAACCATATAAGTTCTTACCAAGAGATAATGTCTTCAAGGTTGACGGTTTTTGCAAGACTAGCAAAGATAAGTGAGGGAGTAAATGCCACGAAAACAATCTACAAAACGTTACATTCTATTAAACCGATTGGTTGAAACTTAGAGAATCCATAATGATGAGTTCAATGGAAGGGTTGAACGAGGTGACAAGTCTAGTTGTCATTCAATGGATGAAACTCTATCATAATGAGATGTCATCTTGTCATTCAATGGATTTGTAGTTCAATGGTGATTGAATTCTTCAATGCAAAAAAGGAAATTTTATAATCTTAAATGCATACTATAAATTATCTTTTGTAACTTTGTGTTGAACTTTATAGAGTTCAATGCATTGTATGAAAAATGATTGAGTTGTAAGGAATATAGAAAAATAATGCGGTAATCCATTGAACTCTATAAAGTTCAATGCAATCAGGATGTCCTTAAAAATAACAAATAACAAATAAAGTAATACAAACTCAAATTGTGTATTTGATCGGTAAGAAGTAGTAGTTTTAACATGTCAAAGTTTTCAGGCACTCACCTTATTTAGTGACTTGCGGGCATCACCAGAGAGAACATTGAAGTAATTGGTAGCCATGATTGCTCCAATTACACTCACTAGCAATACCTCCAAAATCGGCATTGATGCCACCTCAAACAATGACCAAAACCCCATTTCTCTCCCTCTAAAAATGGTGGTTCTAAAAATGTTTCTGATGCAACTTTTTTCAATTTCTCCTTTCTTTGTGTCTACCTTTTTCTTTTTATATTATACAAGGGTGTTGCTAATCAACGAAAGATCCTGGAAAATGTTGGACCATGAAGCCAACGCGAGCTTAAATTCATGAAGATTTCAAACAAAATAATAAGAGAGTGACTTGAAAATTTAAAGAAACACTAAATGGAAAAAATGATACAAGAAACACTTAATGAAGGACCAAAACACCATTCCTCTCCCTCCATTCCTCAACGAAGGTTAACATCAACTCTCCAAACTGAAGTGGAACATGTGAATTTTGCTTCTATGTTCTATAGCATGATTATTTAAATGATAATAACAACTCGATATCATTGTTCGTGGTTAAAATAAACACACATTTGATTCTCTGTAGCATTTAAAATTTTCTTACGAATTTTATTTATTTTCTAGAACGATTAATACATATCCTTTAAGAATATCATGTCCAAAAACATCATGAAACAACGAGGATGTTGTGGTAAACATATGGTATAACATTATTGGATATGATATCGAATACAAAAATCATAAATTCATTGAGTGTGACATTGATCTTCAAAATATTAATCGATGTTTCTACCTTTAAATGGAAGTATGAATGTACATCTCTACATCCTCATTACGTCATTTATTAGGTCATCCGTTATACTAACCACTAAACACTAGAGTAATGGGTACCAACTCATCACAACATTCAACCACTAAAATGCTGAGAAATAGAGAGAAAAACAAATTGATTAGATGTGGTGATCCGTGTTCACCACAATTGACAACGAAATTGCTCCACCACTAACCACCACAAACACATGTGATGGTGTTAATATTTGTGGTTAATGGCCACATAGACCACAAACCATTTCATGATAAATATATCATATGGTCTTACGAGTTTCTAGGTATTATTGTTTACAACTATTATATCATAGATTTCTGTAATCATAATATGTCCAACTATTTAATATTTTTAAATTAAGAGTTTTTCAGACATCAGTTTAGTTTTCCAACACATAAATACCTATCTAGATAGACAGCAAATACATCATAGTTAATTATTTATTAGCTAATGATTATATTGTTTTTCTACAAAGTAATTATTTTCTCTCTTTCATATATATATATATATATATATATATATATATATATATATATATATATATATATATATATATATATATATATATATATATATATATATATATATATATATATATAATGCTTGGTTATAAAGTGAATGAACAAGTATTGTGTGGACGTGTAGATAGTGTTATTCTATGAGAATTACTAAGTTAATAACTTGTTTAGTAATATGAATACATTCAACCTCACACAATTCTTGTCACTTCCATGCATTTTCATTAATTCTTATTCATTTTTGTTTTCATGCATTGTTTTTCATACATTTTGATTCAATAAATATTCTGACAGAATGAGAATAATAATAATAATAAATTCTATAACAACCTTATAGACGATTTAATTAGTGAAAATGTGTGATAATGACAATAGTTATGTAAGATCAAACATATTCAGATTATCAAAAAACATATTTTCTTTGTCATTCTCACAGAATAACATTGTCCACACGTCCGTACAATAGATATCAATCTACATTTTAACCTCTCTCTCTCTCTCTATATATATATATATATATATATATATATATATATATATATATATATATATATATATATATATATATATATAAAGAATGGCGAAGTCCTTTGAATCAAATTACATTAACATCACCTTCTATTATATAAGACTTTTTACAAAAATATAATTTTTTAAATACTTATTTATTTGTATTATACTTATTATAGTTATGATAGTTTATCGAAATATAATTTTTTTTTAACCATTATTAGAAAGAGAGATGAAAAAAAGTAAACCTATAGTATAGACTTCTATGTATATAATAAAGGGAAAACTGCAATAAAGTCCTTACATATTGGTCTTGTAATCGATTTAGTCCCTATATATTTTTTTTATTCAATTAAATCCCAAATACCGGTAATCGTATTCAATTTAACCCTTTGATCCGGTCAACATGTCATCCAACTTTCAAAAATTACATTTTTGGCCCATATTTCAAAATTTATCAAAAATTTGGTCCAAAATTTACACGTTTGATCCAGATTTTAAATTTTGTTACAAATTTGGTCCAAACTATACCATTTTTTCCCCAAATTTTAGAATTTTATTATGAATTCGTCTTAACTTTAGTTTTCTTTACAACTTTTTTTCTCAAAGAATTGTTCCTAATATGTATTTTCTTTATAAAATCATATTAATACACAAAAAAACATATTTTCATTTAAAAAACTTATATTTTCTATATAAAAACTTTTTTTAAAAGCTTTTTGTATATGAAATATCTAGTTATAAACATATATATATATATATATATATATATATATATATATATATATATATATATATATATATATATATATATATATATATTAAGTATATAAATATATAAAAATCCATTTTTATAAAAAAATGTATACAAAAACGTATTTTACAAAAAAAATGTATACAAATGCGTATCACCTTTATATATATATATATATATATATATATATATATATATATATATATATATATATATATAATACGTGTTTGTAGACATTTTATAAAATCGTGTTTGTATACATCTTATAAAAACGTGTTTGAATAAATTTTTATATAATACGTGTTTCTATATATTTTATAAAATCGTGTTTGCATACATTTTATAAAATGTATACAAATACGATTATATATATATATATATATATATATATATATATATATATATATATATATATATATATATATATATATATATAATAGGTGTTTGTATACATTTTTTAGAAAAACCGATTTGTATATATTTATATATTCTTAATAAATATTTAATTTTATAACTAAATATTTCATATATAAAAACTTTTTTTTAAAAAGTTTTTATATAGAAAATATAATATTTTTAAGTGAAAAACGTTTTTTTTTTTATATAAATATGATTTTATATTGAAAAAACATATTAGAAACAATTCTTTGAGAAAAAATGTTGTAAAGAAAACTAAAGTTAGGATGAATCCATAATCCAATTCTAAAATTTGGGTAAAAAGGATAAATTTTGGACCAAATTTGTAATAAATTTTAAAATCTGGACGAAAGTATAAAATTTTGACCAAATTTGTATTAAATTTTGAAATTTGGGCTAAAAATATAATTTTTGAAAGTTTAATAACCTGTTGACCGAATCAAAGGGTTAAATTGAATACGGTTACCGGTATTTAGGATTTAATTGAATAAAAAAATATATAAGAACTAAATCGATTATAAGACCAATATGTAGGAACTTTATTGTAGTTTTCCCTATAATAAAACTCTTAAATTAAAAGTCCATTATTATGTAAACTTAAACAGTTAAACTATTCTTTTGAGATGAGAGCCTAATGGTTGAAGATTTGAATTTCATATAGATTTTTTAGGTTTCAAATCCTGATACACCTAAAATATTATTATTAGTGTTCTGTAATTAACCTTCCAAATAAGTGTTGGAATAGTTGACATGGACCGCTCATATAATATTGTTTACTATCTTTTAAAAATAACTTTAAGCTGAGTAAAACTCATTTTTAAAACAATTTAAGTCAGTCTTTAGTAAGTATGATAAACCACGATAATTTCAGTTCTTAGCCACTCAATTTTGTTCTTTATCTTAGTATGGGAACAACTGAACCAGAAAAACTGAAAAAAATGTGGTACGAAATTACGAATTGCTTGAGGCAACACTCGGAGTCTGCATCTGGTTTAGGACCCACCAAAGGGAATAATTCGGTTTGGGCCTTGGGTGCATTATGCTGTTGCGGAAGTTGCCCGATGAGGAAGCATTATATTCATTATTGACCCAGTTAGAGTTCGCAACTTTTTTATGATGATAATGTCCCTACCATGGCATTATTGTCTTAAATTTAAAATTCGTTGGTAAAATGAAATAATTGGGGAATTCGTAGTGATTAATGCTTGTAGGTTGATACACATCCATAATTACACGTGGCAGGTTACTTTAGGACAACGTACATGTGTAATTAGATGAAACATGTACACTATCTTTTTTATTTTTTATTAGAGGGTCAATACCAAATTAGTTTTAGGCCCATCATGCCAGAGCAAAATCATTAAGGCTACTAATATTTCAGACACAAACTTTGAATTTTTATTCACTTTAATAATAAGGCTACCATCGTTGAGGCTATATATATAATCGATATAGAGAATTTAGAAATATGTTTTATGGATCGAACTTATTTAATATTGAATTTTTATTAGTATATTGTTTATTGTATATAGTAACATGCTTACACTAACATAAAAAAGCAATGACAGAACCCTTAAACGGCAATGGGAGGCTATGGCCCCATGTTTTTCAACACATGGGCGGAGCTTTATTAAGACGAGGGGGAGCTGTGGCCTCTATTGATTTTTTTTTGTTACAAATAGGCTCCGATACTTTAATTTTATACATATTAAACCAAAAAATATAAAATTTTGGTTGTAGCCCCCTGCTTACGGATCCTTATACATATTATATTTTCGGTCCTTCAAATTTTGTGTTGAAGCTCTAAACCTGCTTCAACATACATATATATTCACAATTTACATGAGGATAATGCAAAATCAATTTTTGCCTCATCAACGGAAATGCTAATGGGCCTTGATCGACGAATCTCCTATTTTGATCTTTGAAATATTGTAATTGTGTTCAGTGAATGCCTAGTCTCTATACGTAATGGGTTAGAATTCTTAGGAACTCAATGACCGAATGTGTTGCCGAACCTATGAGTATATGAAATTTGGGAATAAACTTATTTCAATGTCCGGTATGGAAGTGATTTTGTTTCGTTAAAAACTCAATAATTTGATTTTATGATTGTTGTTTGTTAGTGTCTAAGTCTCAAATTGAATGATTTTGTGGAGTTCGATATGAATGTATACAACATGTGAAGATTTTACATGTGTGTCAGAACTCATTTGCCTAATTTTGGTACTTGTTGTGTGTGACTTTGGTCTTTCTATATATGTGGTTAATAGGATTGAAAGTTTTTCTTGGATATTCTTATTTTTTACATATATTGGATATTATGACGTTTCTTTTCCAGATTTCTGCTCTGGTTTGAGTCAAGATGATAGACATGGACAGAGACAAGCGAACGAATAATGGATGGGAGTGGACTCTTTCTAGAAAAAGAAAATGTATGAATCGGAATGACGATGATCACAGAATGAAAACAAATCAAACGAACCCCAATTTTAAAAATTGGAGAATATCACAACTACAATCTATATTACAAACTTCCCTAATTCGTTTGAAAACAAGGATTTGTGGAATTTGTGTGATGATCATGCATTGGTGGCTAACGTTTACTTTGCAAAGATGCTCTCTAAGATTGGCAAACATTTCACTTTCATTAGATTCGTGCGAATTTAAGATTGTAATGCATTGGTACGTACTTTAAATGATATTTGGATTGGTAACTTTCATATCTTTGCATCGGTCGCACGTTTTGATCTTAAAGTTAATAGGCATACCTCTATTTCTGAAAAACCTTCTAAGGTGGATAGGGTGAAACACAATAATACATGAATGGGGTATGGGGGCCACCGATCCTTTGCAGATGCTCTTAATGGCACTAAGGGGACGTCTAATAAACCAATTATCAAGAAATCAATGACTCTTGATGATAAAGATTTACTAGTTATGGATGATTATTCATGTATTATTCTTGGGAATTTACGTGAGGTTCATGCTTTTCCCAATCTGTATACGATTTTTGAGAAATAGGGTTATGATGAGGTTTTGATTAATTATGTTGGTGGAACATGAATATGGTTGGATCTTCAATTAAAGAAGAAATGAGATAAGTTTAAAAAGGATCAAGATAATACGTGTTACTTTGTTGACCTCAAACCAGTTACTAGGAGCTTCATAGTGGAGGATAGGATGGTGTGGTTGGAAGTTGATGGATTACCTTCATGTAACTTTATGTGTATGGTCCTCTGGTGTTTTCAAGAAAGTGGCGAGTCTATAAGGAGTTTTGTTATTTATTCATGACGA